AACATGAAAAAGGCAAGCACATATTTACATGGCCAGCAGGAGAGAGAGAGAGAAAGAGAGAGAGAGAGAATTGCTACATACTTTCAAACAACTAGGTCTTGTGAGTAAGCAGGAAGAGGAACAGTTGGAAACAAACCTCTCCAACACTGAACTAAGGAAGGGAGTGGCTTTTTATTTGGCCAGGAGCTGCAGGGGGCAATAGCCTCATTTACTGAGCTCCCCAGACTGCAGCTTCTCTCCCGTTTTATAAGATGACAATGCTAAGGGGGAAACTGAGGCAGAACTATATTATTGTCCATTTGCTGGACGTCTGACCTTACAATCTTTTGGCTTCATTGATTTGCTAATTCATATGTAGCATAAGCAGGGACCAGTAGGGGAGGGGACTTACAGAGACAAGACAAAAGCAACAAGCTATTTGCTGGCAGAGGTGTTTCCAGGAGGGAGCGTGGTCTGTGGAGATGTGGGGGCATGAACAAGTGCCGGGCTCCAGCCAGCACAGATAACATTCATTTGCAGCTCCTTCAAAGTTAACAGACAGCAGAGATGATGGGAAATTAAAAGGGAAGTCATTTTCCCAGCTCTTTGGTATATACTTCTTTTTTTCCTTTTTTTTTTTTTTTTTTTTTTTTTATTTTTCCCTCTTCACCCTCCTTCCAATCTGGAAGAGGGAAGGGAGGAGGTTAAATTGAAGGAGGCTAGGGGTCTCCCCTCTCAGTGAGAACTCACTAACTCTAACTCTCATGAGAAAATCAAAGGGGAAATTTGCCCCTGATCCAATCACCTCCCACCCGGTCCCTCCTCCAACACTGAAGATCACAATTCAACATGAGATTTGGGTGGAGACACAGAGCCTAACAATGTCAATTACTATATTTTTTATATAAAGTTTTAAAAAGTTTATTAATTTACATGATTATATGTCTGAGTATCACTTTTTAGTACACTTTGCAATAATATTTTTCCTCATTAGGATAATTATTTGTCCCATCATTTATTAAGTATTCTTATTATTCCCACAACCATATATATTTATTTACATCCTTGGATTTCTGGAAGTTCTTTCTATTTCATAGGTTTCATTGCAACTGGAATCCATATATAAGAAAAAATAATGGCTGCGTACATTGCAGAATTTTTGCAAAGACTAATGCATTTTGAAAGGTTTCCCTTTTTGATGTTTGCATATTGCAAGATTTTCTCAATGTGTATATATATATATATACTTAGATACTCTTTCTAAAATATGTCTATCTGCTTTTTTGATTATACCCAGAGGCATATCTAAATTAGAATATCTATAAGAGGGTAAGTGTGGTGGGTTATGCCTGTAATCCTAGCACTTTGGGAGGCCCAGGAGAACAGATTGCCTGAGCTCATGGATTTGAGACCAGCCTGGGCAACACAGTGAAACCCCATCTCTGCTAAAATACAAAAAATTAGTTGGGTGTGGCAGTGTGTGCCTGTAGTTCCAGCTACTCAGGAGGCTGAGGCAGGAGAATTGATTGCACACAGGAAGCAGAGATTGAAGTGAGCTGAGATTGTGCCACTGCTCTCCAGCCTGGTCAACAGAACAAGACTTTGTTTAAATAAAAATCTACATATCTACAAGAGAAATCCTACTTAATAAGCATTCAGATATACCATTCCCCCTATTTTATAACTTCAAAGCACGCCAATGTGGGAACAAGATTTAAGCTGAAACTTAAATTCCCTAGACTTTTGGATTATTTTATTTTTTCAGATTTTGCTGTATTTTATGACTCATCAAAGATCATTTTAGTTCCATTACAAAAAGTATATACAACATTATTTTTAAGTGGTGATAACAAGATTCTTTCACATCTGCAAGATAACTCAAATGTTTGATTATTGGGCAAACTTTCCAAATAAAAAGTGGTTATTAATTTTATAGATATTAATATTAAACTATTTTCCTCTTTGTATCCATGTAACAGTATCATTCAGATGCCAGATTTGTGTCCCAATACCTTAGTTTACTCATTTATGATTTCCTCAGCTTGTAAATATTAATTTGCTCAACCCACACTACTTTGAGTTACTGATATCTGCAATTACATATTTAGCATATAACTGTAAAACCTTATCTCTCAGTTGGTAATAATACTACTAATTGATTTTTATAAAACCTTGTAGCATCAAAAATTCTAGAATGTATAACATACAAAAACTCAGTAATATATTTTGCCACAAAATCAAAAATAAAAGGTAACTTGTAAGATGAGTTGAATGTTAATTTGACCCACTTTTACTATGTCTATATTTCAGGTGTCATGTTGTATGACTTAAACATACACAATAAAATGTATTTTTTAAAAAAGAATAATTATAACAACTTTGAATATATTAATAGTACATATAAAGTACTGCTTGAGAAAATAGTAGCTTGCTTTACGTTATTGAGTTTCTTTCTCCTGGTGGGGCTGGGAATCTTGCATCAGTAACTGCCATAAACACATTTCTTTCATTCATCCATCCTTCTATCCCTTTATTCATTAATCCATCCGTCTATCCATCAAGCCATTCATCCTTGGATATATAGTGAAGCATTTAGTAAAGTGTCTTGCACTTAGTAAATGTTCAAAAAGTGTGAGCTATTTTATAATTGCTTGCTCATGTAATGTTTCCTTAAGAATCCCATCCATCCCAGACTTCACTGACTTTATCAGATCCTGTTATTTGCCCTCATAGCCTTGAATACTTCTACTTCAAGGATTTTCTTAAAACTACAGCTTTATGCTTTTCCAAGTCTTTTATGTCAGCCTCCAACTCTCTCTAATCCATAGCTTTTTGAAGACAGGGCTCATTTTTGTTTTCTTACTTACGAGGGGATTTGACACATGGTTGGTAGAAAGGATGGATTGATGAATAGATGGATGGAAAAATGCATAGATAGATGGATGGGTAAATGGACAGATGGCTAGATGGAAGGAGAAATGACAGATGCATGTTTAGGCAGCTATTGATGGTAACCATCCCCTCAGCAGGAGAAAAAAACTTGATAATGTAAAAAAAAATAAAAATTATAAATCTTGTGCTGAATAATTGTGGCACAATTTTAAATGCTAATAAGTAAATTCATTTGAAGTTCATTTTTTATTTTGATATCAAAATATGATTTCTATTTCTGTAGATAGACATTAGTAAAAAACACTTTAATCCCGGAAAACCAAAAACTTTTGTACATTGGTGAATTAAGCTGATGGTCTATGAATGTTCTTTCTGGACAGGGATCTAGTTTTTAACATTTGTCATGATGATTGACATTAATAAGTTCTTTGATTGGCAGCACTGTTTAGCAAAGGAAAAACCATGTGAGATGAACTTATGACCTCCTATCGGGAAAGATCCAGTATTTGGGATGTAAAGAAGGCACAGGAAGGAGTCACCTCTGTGTTTTATGCCATGTGAGTCCTGTAAATTTAGAATCAATTGTCTGTTAGCCTTCTCACATGAGAGTTCCAAGTTTGTGTTTGAAAATCAGACAATGTTAAAGCTGCTTTCAGATATTTGTAAATAATGTAGCTTTCTAGTGCAATAAAAAGCACAAATTAGGCAGTGATAAACTGGATATCTTATTATATAAAACTCATAGTTCTTATAGTAATTGTTATTGAAAAAAATGCATTTAAACAAAATAAAGGTCACAATTAGAGGTAACAATTGTGCTCTGACTATAAACAATGTAAGGGATATTTATCTTATAAACTGGTCTTTTTCTAGGAAACAGAAATACTGATGCTTGTAGTCATAAACACAGGTGGGTTGTGTCATAGAGTCCTGATCTTTTCCTTTCTAGTAAATCATCACTCTGAAACCATATTTTTCCTTGATTGAAATTGAGTCTTAGAAGCTTAGAATAATGGAAAGTTTGAACTGCAAGGAACACTAATAAGTATCTGTATGATAAAGTCTCTATTATCTAGCCCTATGATACTACAGTTCATGTTATCATGATTGGCCATGACTTTGAATCTGAAAAAGGAGAAAAAAGAGGACATTAAGTAGACAGAGAATATAAAAATGTGGTGGGCTCAATGGGTTAATTTTCCAGTGACATCAAAAAACAAAGTAATGATCTTTGTTAGATGGGAGATGGGAGGTGATGATCCAAGAGTGGGGTCCAAAAGTTGAAATTCTAAGGAAAACACATAATTGGAGAAAAAGCATTCAAGGAACTTATGGGGAGATACAATCTTCACTTATTTCAAAAGTACCATATTAAAGAAATAAATAATGGTGTGGCATTTACACACCATTCACAAAAATTTACCAGAGACATCTCCAAGTCCAGAGGAAGAAGAACCAGTCAATCATTATTGAACATAGAAATAAGAAAACAATACAGTTGTAAGGTGATAATCTCCTATTCTATAAACCTATTACACATGTAATTATTTGATAAAATAGTTTTGGTCCGTTGTATTGTAGCCATGAAAACATCAGTTTCTTATTCCCAACAGAGTGCAGAGATTCTTATTCATGAATAACGAATATCCTAAATAGTTGCTACACACCTCTTGTCTATGCCATTTTCATTTTCATGTAGACTTTCCTATCTCTGCTATAAGTTTTTATCATTTCATTTCGTTACAAAACAGCCCAGATCCTAGGGGAGTTTTCTTGATAAATCTATTATATTTAGAATTATTTTTACTTTCTCCGCAGCATTTTGGCATTTGCAGAGGATTTTTATTGCTTTAAGTTTGCATTTTTAACAGTTCTTCGTTCTATGTATATTCAATGTCTCCAGCTGTATACATATGAGCAACAATTGTGTTATTTCCCACAATTATTTGACACTGCGTGAAGAACATAAGGTAAACGTTTAGCCAGTGATTATTTCCTAAGTGTCCATGATTTCTACACAAATTGGACCTTGCTGAAAAACACATTGAAAAAAATATAATTGCATAAACTGCAAAATGCTGTTCATTAGACTGAAATTTCTCAATTAGGGACTATTATATAATTCTAAGGAAGAAGTTTGAATTTGTTTAATTTACTTTATGCACACTTAAAGAAAGAAATCACATTCGTCATGTTTATTTGACACCCATAGTAAGGCAGTGGCTAATAAAACTTATTTTGGAAACAATTTAAATGTCAAATAAAATAGGAAATGTGTTTGTTGTCTACTTGGGCTTGCATGAGTTTTTAGGCAATGTAGCATTACAGTATAAGACTTGTGAATGTTCACATTTTCCCATTTTTTTCTACTTACTAGTGTAAGCATAAAGAGATAATGACTATCATATACTAAGCTTGGGGAGATATATACACCATTTTATTTAAAAATGTTTCATGTCATTTGATTTTATTTATGCTTCCCTTTGTAAAAAAAAATAGTTGTATGCCATTTATTAGATGAGTTTGTATTGTATTATTTTTAAGAGTATGCATTAGGGGCCAGATGGCTTGAATTGAATTGTGAATTAATACATGCAAAGTACTTAGAAGAATATTTGGCACACAGTAAGTGCTGCATAAATGTTAGCTAATTTTATTATCCTTATTTTTATTATAAAACACCTACTGAATATAAAATCAGTAAACTATAAACGAGAAAATAAAGCCAAAACTAAAGTAAGTAAAAAAATTAAATTCAATCTTGGGTACCTCCCAGGAAACTCAGGATCAAGAAGTTTATAGACATGTTAAAAAGAAACATTTCTTTTGTCGTTTTTCTGGCCTGAATTAATGCTCTCTTTTGATAATATAATTTAGATATGATGTACTAATGGCACAAATTATTGAGTTATATTCCTGTCCTTGTGACTTTGTTCTAAACCTATATTTTATAATCTGTAAATTGAGCATCAATAATATTACTTGCCTAGAATGATTTTAATAATAATTAAACAAGGTAAGTTATACAATGTTCAATAACTTTTCATTTTCTTCTTATTTTTCTTTATTATTATTTTTATTGACATTATTAGTGGCTGGGACATAAATAGGAACAGACACGAAGCTAACCAATCATTAATTATCATATTAGTACTGCAACAATCATAGATAAGAAAAACATACACTCTATCATTATAAATTAAATTGCCTGTGTCAAACATGTTTTCTTGACTTGTTTTCCTCACATCTGTGTCAAGTCAGAATTGTGAATATGTATCAAGACCTGTGGTGAATAAAATAATAGAAGTATGTTTGTGATAATAGACAATACAATGAAGAGTTACTATGTTGGAGTGCAGTAAAGGTTTTGGCATGTAATGAGGTATAAGGTAAGTTTTGAAGATAAAGTTTTCAACATTGTCCTTTTTATGACATGCAGCAGTTAATGGTGTGCATAGCTAGACGCATTGCAGAATATTTTCTTTTCTATTTTTAAAATTTATTTGAAATATCACAAAAATACCCTGAAATATTGCAGACTGATCAAGCAGTGGATCTCATATATGAAACTGACGCTTCTTACTCAATTTCATTAGGATAAGTACTAAATATATTTCATATTTGCATAATATTTTATAATTTTTAATTGAATTAATAAACATATTGACTATTTTAAGCATAGAGAGCATTATTTTTTGCCCAAGAGAAAATAAAAATATACAAAACAAAGCAATTATTGATAGTTAGAAATTTGAAGAGAACGTGATGTTTCTAATTTACTAAATTACTAAATTTACTAAATTACTTTAATTTACTAACTTCACATCTGTGGTTATTTGTTCAAATTTCCCTGACTTTGCTTTTTATATATATATAATGCTGATCCTACCCTGACATGCATTAAGAGACTTTATGAGTGGATATACTACTGTGTGTGATTTATTTAAAGGAAGTTCTCATAAATGCCAGGGAGCATGGGAAGACTGTCATACATCTCAGGACTTCAATGGACATATTAGGAAAAATGTCTATAACCGGAAAAGTGGAATTGTTAAAGTTTACCAGAGTCCTATGACTCTGGGATACAGCAATGTTTAAGAAATTTCCCATTCTTCTATTTTTTGAAATAGCATACTACACAAACCTCCCATCTCCATAGCACTTATATTAGCCTCACAGATGCTTCCTTGTTTACCTATGACGAGGCCAGACACAAATTCCTTAAATTCTGGTTCTATGCCTCATAAATGATAAGCTAAATTATTTTCTTCCCCACAGACAAATTGGAGCAAAATACTTGTTAACCAGACTAAGATCCTTTCTCCCCTAAACCCTGGAGCCAGCAAACAACCCCTCCTTAAAAGTCTCTCTCAAAAAAAGACTGACCTTAGAATACAGCATTTCGTGATCGGCTATATAATCGTTTCACCCTTGCTCATCCTATTCCGCCACAACAGGTTCTCTCAGGCCTTGGTTACTCCTCATAAAAGAAAAGCTCTTCTTTACCTAACCTTTAAGATGCTTGCAGAGTCTCCCTGTTTCAATAGTCAACCGCCCTGTCTCCCTTCCACTGTTGCAATAATCTATTCCTTCCCTCTTACGATAAGATCTGTTTACATAAATTGAGTTGTTTTTCATTTGACAAGAGAAAAGTGAAAACTAAAAAAGGGAAGCCACATGGGAACACAAAGCAATTACTGACAATATTAAGGTAAGAGTTCATGATATGTTTCATGATTGCTCTGCTCATAGACACATAAACTAAGAACAAGAAAACCTGAAGTCATTTCCCTTCTCTACCTCTTACGAGTTGTTATGACCTTGGGTAAATAATAAAACTTAAAAACAAAATATTTTTCTTTCAACTATCTTTCTCTTTTCCTCTTTCTTTAGTGCCTCCTTTCCATTCTCTTGGCCACCAAATGGACTTAAATATGTGATCTCTTGGAAGAATGTTTTTCGTAAAGAAATGATTCACTAATAGAGTTTCAGGCAGCAGGGCTCAGGTAGTTTGGGAGGGATTTCTGCTTGTAGATATCTCCACTGTCCTTAAGTCATACCAGGGAGAGGCCATCACATCCTTCTATTTTTGTGGTTGGCTCTGTTAGAGCAGATTTTGTTGTTAGTACCCATTCACAATTGGCAATGGCAGTCAGAGTTTTTGGTAGTTTTGCTTGAAATCAGATTTGGCTCTGAAGAGAAGGCTCTTAAAGTGGAAGAATTTTTTTTTTTTCCCCAGGAGAAGAATAAAATAAATCAATAGTTATTTTTACTTTATTTTATTATTATTTTTATTTCAATAGGTTTTGGGGGAACAGGTGGTGATTGGTTACATGAATAAGTTCTTTGGTGGTTATTTCTGAGGTTTGGTACACTCATCACCTGAGCCGTGTACGCTGTACTCTATGGGGTATTGCATTGTGGTTTTGATTTGTATTTCCCTGATAGTGGTGTTGAGCATTTTTCATATGTTCATTGGCCATTTATATATCTTCCTTTGAGAATTGTCTATTAACGTCCTTAGCCCATTTTTAAAAATTGAATTGTTTGGTTTTTATTGCTGATTTGTTTGAGTTCTTCGTAGATTCTAGATATTAGTTTTTTGCCAGATGTATAAATTGCAAAGATTTTCTCCCACTCTGTGGGTTGTCTGTTAACTCCGTGAATTTTCTTTTGCTGTGCAGAAGCTTATTAATTTAATTAAGTCACATCTATTTATCTTTGTTTTTGTTTCATTTGTGTTGGGTCCTTGGTCATGGAGTCTTTGCCTAAGCAAATAACTAGAAACATTTTTCCAATGTTATCTTCTAGAATTTTTATGATTTTGGGTCATAGACTTAAGTCCTTCAGCAAACTTAAGTATTTTTTATAAGGTGAGAGATGAGAATCCAGTTTCATTCTCCTACATGTAGCTTGCCAATGACCCCATCACCATTTGTTGAATCAAGTGTTTTTTCCCCATTTTATGTTTTGGATTGCTTTGTCAAAGATCAGCTTGCTGTAAGTATTTGACTTTATTTCTGGGTTCGCTATTCTGTTCCATTGGCCTATGTGCCTATTTTTATACCAGTACAGTCACTACTGGTATAAAAGTAGTCACCTATTTTTTTACCAGTCACTCTTTTGGTGATTATGGCCTTGTTAGTATAGTTTGAAGTCAAGTACGGTGATGCCTCCAGATTTTTGTTGTTTTGCTTTATTTTGTTTTGTTTGTTTGGCTTAGTCTCGCTTTGGTTATGCAGGCTCTTTTTTTGGCTCCATATAAAATTTAGGATTGCTTTTCCTAGTTCTTTGAAGAATTGTGGTGGTGTTTTGACAGGAATTGCATTATAGTTGTAGATTGCTTTTGGCAATATGGTCATTTTCACAATATTGATTCTACCCATTCATAAGCATGGGATCCATTTGTTTGTGTCACTCATGATTCCTTTCAGAAGTGTTTTGTAGTTTTCCTTGTAGAGATCTTTCACCTCCTTGGTTAGGTATGTTCCTAAGTATTTTAATTGTTTTTCGCTATCGCAAAATGGTTTGATTTCTTGATTTGATTCTCAGTTTGGCTGCTGTTGGTGTATAGCAGAGCTACTGATTTGTGTATGCTAATTTTGTATCCTGAAACTTTGCCGAATTCATTTATTAGTTCTAAGAGCTTTTGGAGGAGTCTTTAGGGTTATCTAGATATATGATCATATCATTAGCAAACAGTGACAGTTTGATTTCCTCTTTATTGTTTCAGGTGTCCTTTATTTCTTTCTTTTGTCTAATTGCTCTGGATAGGACTTCCAGTACTATGTTGAATAGAAATGTTGAGAGTGGGCTTCCTTGTCTTGTTCCAATTCTCAGGGGGAATGTTTCAGTTTTTCCTCACTCAGTATTATGTTGGCTGTGGATTTGTCATAGATGGCTTTTATTACATTAAGACATGTCCCTTCTATGCTGATTTGGCTGAGGGTTTTAATCATAAAAGGCTGCTGGATTTTGTCAAATGTTTTTCTGTATCTATTGAGATAATCATGTGATTTTTGTTTTTAATTTTATGTGGTGTATCACATTTAGTGACTTGCAAATGTTAAATCAACCCTGCATTCCTGGTATGAAACCCACTTGATCTTGGTGGACTATCTTTTTGATATACTGTAGGATGTTTTTAGCTAGTATTTTGTTAAGGATTTTTGCATCTATATTCATCAGGGATACTGATCTGTAGTTTTCCTTTTTTGTTATGTCCTTCCCTGGTTTTGGTATCAAGGTGATAGTGGCTTCACAGAATGACTTTGGGAGGATTCCCTCTTTGTCTTGTGGAACGGTGTTATGTTAATAAGATTGGTACCAATTCTTCTTCAGATGTCTGATAGAGTTCAGCTGTGAATTGTCTGGGCCTAGACTTTGTTCATTGGCAATTTTCTGTTACCATTTCAATCTCACTGCTTCTTTGGTCCATTCTGAGTTTCTATTTCTTCCTGGTTAAATCTAGCAGGGTTGCGTATTTCCAGGAATTTATACATCTCCTCTAGCTCTTCTAGTTTATGTGTGCAAAGCTGTTCATAGTAGCCTTGAGTAATCTTTTGTATTTCTGTGGTATTAGTTGTAATAGTTCCCCTTTAATTTCTAATTGAGCTTATTTGGATCTTCCCTTTTCTTCTCTTGGCGAATCTCTCTAATGGTCTATCAATTTTATTGATCTTTTCAAAAGAACCAGCTTTTTGTTTCATTTATCTTTTCTAATTTTTTGTTGTTCATTTCATTCAGTGTTGCTCTGATCGTATTATTTCTTTTCTTCTGCTAGGTTTGGGTTTTGTTTGTTCTTCTTTCTCTAGTTCCTTGGGGTGTGACCTCAGATTGTCTATTTGTGCTCTTTCAGGCTTTTTTGATGTAAGCTCTAAAGGCCATGAACTTTCCTCTTAGCACAGCCTGTGCCATCTCCTAGAGGTTTTTTGTAGGTTGTATCACTATTATCATTCTGTTTTAAAAGCTTTTTAATTTCCATCTTTATTTCATTGTTAACCCAATGATCATTCTGGAATAGGTTATTTAATTTCCATGTATTTGCATGGTTTTGAGTGTTATTTTTGGAGTTGATTTCCAGTTTTATTCCACTGTGGTCTGAGAGAGGACTTGATACAATATCGTTTTTTAAAAACGTATTGAGACTTGTTTTGTGGCCCCTTATATGGTCTATGTTGGAGAATGTTCCATGTGCTGATGAATAGAATATATATCCTGCAGTTGCCGAGTAGAATGTTCTGTAAATATCTATTAAATCCATTTGTTCTAGGGTATAGTTTAAATCCATTGTTTCTTTGTTGACTTTCTGTCTTGATTGCCTGTCTAGTGCTGTCAGTGGATTATTGAAGTCCCCCACTATTATGGTGTTACTGTCTATCTCGTTTCTTAGGTATAGTAGTAATTGTTTTAAAAATTTGGGAGCTCTAGTGTTAGGAGTTAGGAGCTCCAGCTTCATATTGGGCAAGTCCTTTTATCATTATACAATGTCCTTCCTTGTCTCTTTAACAGCAGTTGCTTTAAAGTTTGTTTGTCTGATATAAGAAGAGCTACTTCTGCTCACTTTTGGTGTCCATTTGCATGAAATGTTTTTCCCCCTTTTACCCTAAGCTTATGTAAGCCTTTATGTGTTAAGTGAGTCTCTTGAAGACAGCAGATACTTGGTTGTTGAATTCTTATCCATGCTGCCATTCTGTATCTTTTAAGTGGAGCATTTAGGCCATTTACATTCAACTTTAGTACTGAGATGTGAGATACTATTCTATTCATCCTGCTATTAATATTTGTTGCTAGAATACCTTTTTTTTAATGCTGGAATTTATTGTGTTTTTGTTTTATAGGTCCCGTGAGATGTGTGCTTTAAAGAGATTCTATTTTAATGTATTTCAAAGATTTGCTTCCAGATTTAGAGCTCCTTTTAGCAATTCTTTTAGTATTGGCTTTGTACTGGTGAATTCTCTCAGGATTCATTTTTCTTTTATGAATTCTTGTTTAGCTGGATAAAAAATTCTCAGCCAATAATTGTTTTGTTTAAAGAGCCTGAAGATAGGGCCCCAGTCCCTTCTAATTTGTAGGATTTCTGTTGAGAAATCTGCTTTTAATCTGATAAGTTTTCCTTTATAGGTGACCTGGTGCTTTTGCCTCACAACTCCTAAGAAAGATTCTTTTCTTCATCTTGACTTTAGATAACCTGATAAGAGCCTACGTAATAACATTTTTACAATAAATTTCCCAGGTATTCTTGTATTTTGGTTTATAGATCTCTAGCAAGGTTGGGAAAGTTTTCTTCAATGATACTCTTAAATATGTTTTCCAAACTTTTAGATTTTTCTTTTACCTCAGGAACACCAATTATTCTTAGGTTTGGGCATTTAAATTAATTCCAAACTTATTGAAGACTCTGTTTATTTATTAAATTCTTTTTTTCTTGCCTTTGTGGTTCGGGTTGGTTCAAACACCTGGTCTTCAAGCCCTGAAGTTCTTTCTTCTCCTTGTTTGATTCCATTGCTGGGATTATCCAGTGCATTTTGCATTTCTCTAAGGGTGTCCTTGATTTCCAGAAGTTCTGATTGGTTATTTATTTATGCTGTCTATTTCACTGAAGATTTTACCTTTCATGTCTTGTATGGTTATTTTGTTATTTCATTAAGTTGTACTTCACCTTTTTGTGGTGCCTTCTTGATTAGCTTAAAAATCAATATTCTGATTTTTTTTTTTTTTTGGCAAATTAGGGATTTCTTCTTGGTTTAGATCCATTGCTGGTGAGGTAAGGTGGTCTTTTGGGAGTGTTAAAGGACCTTGTTTTGTCATCTTACCAGAATCGTTTTTCTGGTTCCTTCTCATTTGGGTAGACTACATTAGAAGAAAGATCTGGGTCTCAAAGGCTGCTGTTCAGATTCTTTTGACCCACAAGGTGCTCCTTTGATGTAGTGCTCTCCCCATTCCCCTAGAGATGTGGCATCTGGAGAGCCAACTGAAGTGATTGTGATTTATCTTCTGGATCTAGCCACCCAGTACCAGCCTTTGAGTTGGTACTGGGGGTATCTGCGCAGGGTCCTGTGATGTGAACCATCTTCAGTTCTCACAGCCATGGATACCAGCACCTGCTCTGGTGGAGGTGGCAGGGGAGTGAAATGAACTCTGTAAGAGACCTTAGATGTAGTTTTGTTTACTGCACTAGTTTTGTTTTGGTTGGTCTCTTGTCAGGACGTGGTGCTTTCAGGAGTGCATCAGCTGCAGTAGTACAGAGAAGGTCAGGTGGTGGGCAGGGCCTTAGAACTTCCAAGAGATTATGTCCCTTGCCTTTCACTACCAGGTGCCTTAGAGAAAGACCTTCAGGTGGGGGCAGGGTTGGATGAGTCTGAGCTCAGAGTCCCCTTGGCCAGAGCTTGCTATGGCTACTGTGGGGGATGGGGGATGGTTCTCAGGCCAATAGAATTATGTTCTCAGGAAGATTATGGCTGCCTCTGCTGTGGCATGCAGGTTGCCAGGGAAGTAGGGGGAAGTTGGCAGTTACAGGCCTCACCCAGCTCCCACACACCCCAAAAAGCCAGTCTCATTCCCACCATGCCCCCCACAACAGCACTGAGTTTATTTCCAGGCAACAGGTGAGCAGGGCTCACAACTTGCCCCAGGCTACCAGCCTCCTGGCTGAGAAAGCAAGCAGAGCTTTCACGTTTTGCACCTCCCTACCTGCCGTGGCTTTTGTGCTATGCCTGCACTCCCATTTCACCCCTTCCCCTAAGTTCTGTCCAGGAAGCTTCATGTTAGTTCAAAATTGTAAAAAAGTTCAGCTGGAAATTTCTCCCTGTGGTCTCTTCCTGGTTCCTCCGGCAGCCTTCTTCAAGGACCTCTTCAAGACAAAGTCAGAAATGTCTTCCCTGGTAACAGAGAGAGCACACATGGGGCTCTTTCTGCTACATCTTCTACCCCTGTATTTTGCTTGGTTCTCTAAATTTCTTTCAGCTCCAGGTAAGGTCAAATCCTTCCCCATGATCTGGACCTTCAGGTTCCCCAGTGAGAGTGTTTGTTCAGGGGCAGATTATTTCCCTTTCACACTTTTGCACTTTGGGCACTAATGGTTTTTGACTGTCTTTTGGGGCTTACAGGCCAGTCTGCTACCTTCAAAGGATCTGTGGGTTCTTCTTGCTTTCATGGTATATTTCTTCAGTAGTTGTTGGAGCAAAAATTCACAACATGAGTCTCCACATGCTGCTCTGTCTCTCTGAGTGGGAGATGCCTTTTAGTCCTGCTTCCTAACTGCCATTTTCCTTCTTTCTCAGTCATAAAACTTTTGAGACTTGAGTTGCTTTCCTTCTGAAACAAGAATCACAATTCCTACCTCCAGGTATATTGCAAGGATTTAATGACTAATGCATATGAAAAGGATTAGCAACTTGCAAAGTCTCCTCACATTGCATTTACTTTGTCTATAAAGGGCTCTCCTTCACCTGCTGCTGATCCCGCTAAACAGCTGCTATCTAATAAGAAAGGTTTCAACTATATGGAAGATTATCAACTGTGATTATTTCTGCAGGGAAGAATAAAAGGTTAATAGAAAAAAATAAAACTTAGCCAGCAATAATTCTACATAAGCACTGTTGATTTTTTAACTTGACTCGAGTTTTCCTAACAGATCTTCAAGCCACCCAAGAATAGTTATCTAAAAGATAATACATGCTATATTAGACAAAACAATATAAGGAAAATGATATATTTCAAGGGTTAAATAATTTTCACTTTAAGATCATGACATTTTATGTGATTATAAAATACCACATGATGTTATTTTGAAAATAAATGAATAAGTGTTTATTTGGAAACAAAGAATTTAAGAAAAGTCTTTTAATGAGCAAGAAGCTTGCTGTAATCTGAACCTGAAACTAAACTGCCTTTAATTGAAGTTTAGGAAAATTACACTGTTTTGAGGGTATAGAATGGATTTTGCCATAAGATAATATTTTTTAATTACTAATCTTTAAGATTGAAAACATTTTAATGTTTTTTCTGTAACATTGAAGTAGCAGTTTGATTCTTCATTTATCTTTTCAAAGCAAAAGAGAGATCTTTTTAAACTTTACACTTCAAAGTTAGAATAGTTCTTTAACTTTTCTTTTTCCTTTCTAATGTTGAAGAACTTTGGCTCACCTGAATATATTCTTTGCATGTTTCTTAGTATCAAAAATCAATCTAATTTATATTATATTTTCTATTCCATATATTATAAACTATGGGAAACAAAATATTTTTGATAAAAACCCATTAATTCTAATAAATTCTCTTCATTTTTTTCAGTTATTTTAAAGTTTATACACATTTTTTTCCTACAAGAGGTAGTATGTTATTTACCTCTTAAATTTGCAAACATTTTTAGCTTAATTAGGGACTAACCATATCAATTACTGTATCTAATAAATTTACTTATATACTGAATAATATCAAGGACTTTTTAAAAATTGAATTTTATGTCATACATATGTTTTCAGACCTCACGTAAGAGATCTCACTTAAGTTATCAGTCTTCATTTAACTTTAGAATATCCTTATTGATCTTGTCTGAGCCATTGGTTTGCTTACTTTTCATTTTAGTTCCGGCCATCAAAAATATTG